GGACCCTTGGGTTGGGACCCTTGGGCTGAGACCCTTGGGCTGAGATCCTTGGGTTGGGACCCCTTGGGTTGGGAACCTTGGGCTGAGACCCTTGGGTTGGGACCCCCTGGGCTGTGACCCTTGGGTTGGGACCCCCTGGGCTGGGACCCCTGGGTTGGGAGCCTTTGGATTGGGACCCCTGGGCTGGGACCCTTGGCCTGAGACTCTTGGGTTGGAACCCCCTGGGCTGGGACCCTTGGGTTGGGACCCCATGAGCTGGAACCCCCTGGGCTGGAACCCCTTAGCCTGGGAACCCATGGGTTGGGATCCTTTGGCTGTGACCCTTGGGCTGGGACCCCTTGGGCTGGAACCCCCTGGGTTGAGACCCTTGGGCTGGGACCCTTGAGCTGGGACCATTGGGTTGGGACCCTTGGGCTGGGACCCTTGGGTTGGGACCCCTTGGGCTGGAACCCCCTGGGTTGAGACCCTTGGGCTGGGACCCTTGAGCTGGGACCATTGGGTTGGGACCCTTGGGCTGGGACCCTTGGGTTGGGACCCCTTGGGCTGGAACCCCCTGGGTTGAGACCCTTGGGCTGGGACCCTTGAGCTGGGACCATTGGGTTGGGACCCTTGGGCTGGGACCCTTGGGTTGGGACCCCTTGGGCTGGAACCCCCTGGGTTGAGACCCTTGGGCTGGGACCCTTGAGCTGGGACCATTGGGTTGGGACCCTTGGGCTGGGACCCTTGGGTTGGGACCCCTTGGGCTGGAACCCCCTGGGTTGAGACCCTTGGGCTGGGACCCTTGAGCTGGGACCATTGGGTTGGGACCCTTGGGCTGGGACCCTTGGGTTGGGACCCCTTGGGCTGGAACCCCCTGGGTTGAGACCCTTGGGCTGGGACCCTTGAGCTGGGACCATTGGGTTGGGACCCTTGGGCTGGGACCCTTGGGTTGGGACCCCCTGGGCTGAGACCCTTGGGCTGGGACCCCATGAGCTGGAACCCCCTGGGCTGGAACCCCTTAGCCTGGGAACCCATGGGTTGGGATCCTTTGGCTGTGACCCTTGGGCTGGGACCCCTTGGGCTGGAACCCCCTGGGTTGAGACCCTTGGGCTGGGACCCTTGAGCTGGGACCATTGGGTTGGGACCCTTGGGCTGGGACCCTTGGGGTGGGGACCCCTGGG